CTAGATAGAATGTCGCACGACGTAACAACATCCTTTCTTGTCTTTACTCTAGACTATTTAAGATACTACATATGTAATTAGCATTTATCGTCGTGATAATTTACATATCTTTAAATTTACATATCACTAAATATCGTAAATGGAGGTTAGAATAAATTTTTTGACAGAATAATGGTATCGTAGTCTAATCTATTTCACAATCTGTCTGTTGTTTAAGTCAGAGCACTTGATACGCTATTTAGCCGTACTTTTTCTATAACCATAGTATATCAGAACTTAAATATTGAAATACATATATTATAATATACATCAATATTGTATGGACAGGATTGATGGAAGTTTGTAAATAAAAGTTCATGCAAAATTGATTTAAACATGACTTTTAAAGTCAAATTTCTTTTTATTGCATGGTATCCTACTCATCATGAGGGTAACATGTCTCAAAGGAATCGCAGGTCGTAACTCAACCGTACTCTTGCAAAAAATTGGTAAAGTTCTACTAGTTTTCGAACTCACTTTTTTCTAATGCATTTACATTCTGGTAGCATCTATTGTTGCATATAGATGCTCCACATCATTTCTTCTTCGTTTGTTTCTGTCTGCTTAAACAGCCTCGAACGTGAATTTCTATATTTCTACCAAGTTATTGCCCAAGATTACATGTTGACTTTCTATTGTAAAAACCATATTGAATTGGATGTTATATATTAGGTTAGTTTCTTTCGTTTTACAAGGAAATAATAGACGCACAACATTTTATGTTTTATATTATTTTATTAAATTTTGTATTATCCATATTTTTCCAATAGGACTAAATATTATGCATTTATTCTTTATTTATGATACTGTGGCGGATCGGTATCAACAGCGTTGCAGCTTATCTAGCATCCAACGACAGGGGGGCACGGAGGCGGCTACGGGTTCTCAGGGCGTAGGACCACGCCCTGGAAAACCCCAATGAATCTGATGTTCTTCTATAGCCTGATGGTGACTGGATGGCGTCTTCGGCCCCCGCCAGTCCGCCGATCCGGTGCGGAGAACCTCGGAGAAGTTGGTGGGACCGTATCTGCCAAGACCACTCACCTCACCTTCTTGTGGGGCTCCCCGTCACCCTGCGC